GTTCAGACGTGTGCTCTTCCGATCTCGATCAAAGCAATTGCGGTCAACTGTGTCTACAGTTTTTACAGACAGTAGATAATCTATTTAAAGACAAACATTGCAACATTTAGACTCAGTATTCATTCAAACATGTCGCTGACGTTTATGCTGACAGGCAAAAGTAGTATCCTCGCGGTAAGCTACTTTCCACCTGTAGATTTGAGCGATGGTGAATACGAACTCGGTCTGGCAGATTTTGAAACGTATTATACGATACCCAATGTAAATTCGTAGAATAAATTTTATTTCGACAAAGACGACAAGGAGATTGTATAAATTCCCGAAGGATCGTACGAACTGCATGATATTGCAAAATATTTGAAACGTGCAATCCTACATGTTCGTCCAAACGATGCTGCGAGAAAGAAAACGAAAAGCGATGAAGAGGATGAGAACGATTACCCGCTGGTGATTCGCGCCAATAACAATACGATGAAAAGCGAGATCAAGTGCGCGTATCGGATAAATTTCACAAAATCCTGTAACATTGGATCGCTGTTGGGATTTTCATCAAATCGCACGCTGGAACCACGTCAATGGCACGAATCGAACGTACCGATAAATATCATGAATGTAAACATCATTCGCATAGAGTGTAACATGACCGCGGGTGCGTATAGTAACGACAAGTGTGTACATACGATACATGAGTTTTCACCGAGCGTGCCGCCAGGATATAAGATATCGGAAACGCCGGCACAGATCATTTACCTTCCGATCATCGCACGGAGCATATCGGATCTGACTATCCGCGTTGTGGATCAATACGGTCGATTGCTCGATTTTCGCGGAGAAGAAATCACTGTGAGGCTGCACGTACGGAGACGACAGCGATAACGTGAGATGCTCGTGCTGAATGAGCAGGTGAAACGTACAGGAGACACAATTTTAACTGGAGAGACAACTGTAAAAAACATTCGATCTATCAAGAAGAAACTCACTGCTTCCAACATTGAATTTTTAAAATCTTTGGGTTTTACCATGCATAGTATCTGAGATGGCTAATATCCTAAACATTGGAGGGGAACCAGTCTTTGACGACAGCATCGTCAAGATTGATACTCACACATACAATCCATATGCTAATACTGCGTTTGGACACAGCGATGAAATACGAATACCCATACAACAGCAGGATTTATACACATTACCATGCGAAAGTTTTCTCTACGTCGAAGGAAAAATGTCGATAAAGGAAAAGAAGGAAGGGTCGGTGACAACACTTGCAAAGATTGCGTAACGTTCATGTTTGATGAAATTCGA